GGTAGTGTCGCGGACTCCGCCCTAAACGCGGATATAACTGAGGGCGCGGGTGGTGAGGGTAGTGTCGCGGACTCCGCCCTAAACGCGGATATAACTGAGGGCGCGGGTGGTGAGGGTAGTGTCGCGGACTCCACCCTAAATGCGGATATAACTGAGGGCGCGAGTAGTGAGGGTAGTGTCGCGGACTCCGCCCTAAACGCTGATATAACTGAGGGCGCGGTTGGTAAAGGTAGTGTCGCGGACGCCGCCCTAAACGCGGATATAACTGAGGACGCGGGTGGTGAGGGTAGTGTCGCGGGCGCCGCCCTCTGTATTCTGCTGCCCTAGGCAGCCGCCTAGGTCGCCTCTATGGACGCGGTGGCCCTGATTGTGTCTATTATAACTGAATTCTTTGTTTTAGTAATTCTAGTTTTCAGCTAATTACATTTCAGCAACATTTCTGTATTTAGAAAGTTTTTTCTCAGGTTTTTAAAGATGACAAAAATACCATTTTACACAAGTTCATTTGATTCTTTTCTTTCCCACTGTCTTGTTTTTCGGCAGTGGGTTTTTTTGTGTGTCTGCTGCATCTCCCATTTTTGCACTATGTGTGGCTTCAGTTAAAAAAACAACAACTCTGTGCTGAGGCACTCCAGAACCAAGACTGTTGATACAGTAGGTTATCTAGCAGCATAAAAAGCCCAGTGCACTGCTCTTTCCTAAAGTCAACAAAAAGGCAGTGCTGTGTGCCTTGCCTTTTCAGAACTGTAAAGCACGTTCAATGTCTTATAATTTTGTTATATTTAGGACCCTTGTGAAAATTAGATGGTGCAACTAGGTTAGGCTAGTTTTATTATAATTAGGACAGTTGACTATAACTTACTTGGATATATTAAACAATGGTAGTGTAAATAAATACCCTTTTTACCCTGTCAAAATCACCTAGTTTTAGAATTGTCTCTTCTAAAACTGTCATTCGATGTAAGGAACACCTTACATCCAAATGCAGAGCAGGCTTCATGTAAGGAACATTTGAATAAAATTATTAGATTCGAGGTTAAAACATCCCAGCATTAGTAATTCATTGTAAAATATGGAGTAAAATCATTTAAATGCTTAACGACCTCTACATAAACAGGCGGTGTACCGGGACGCCAGCTCGCAAGTTCATACTCTGCGACGGATAGTTCGGGAAAAGGATGAGACCATTCAGAAGCAATCCACACTGGAGAAGAAGATTCATGAGCTGGAACGCAGAGGCAGTCTGCAAATCCAGGTGAGGGGAGAGGGAGACGGGGAGGGAGATGTGTCTCCGCTGCCTTCGCCTCCTCAACCCATGGCTCTGTCCCCCTGTCCCGATGCCATGGCTCTGGCTGGAGCCTGTGCTGGAGCATCATACAGCTCTGCTAGCTCTTCTCAGACTGGCACGCTTCGAGCAATGGTTACTCCGCCACCTCCTCCACCTCCACCACCTCCAATGACAGATTCTTCTGGTAAGTTGTGCCGTCAACAAAAATTAAGATTCTGTTAAGTCATTGAAATGCTAACTAAATAAATGAATAAACTCTTAAACTGATGCAAGTTAGCAAACACTTGTTGCATGTCTGATCAAATGGAAAAATAGCAATTGCTTTGTTTTCTTGAGAATTATCAGAATAATTATTAGAATATCACATAAAACATTTGCATATAAAGCACATGAAGAGAATGACACTAGTTACACTAGTTACTATAGAAACTAGTGTAAAATATCAGTAATAAAAATGTAAACTGCTGCAAAATGGTGCAATTATAAATGTGTTGTGCCTTTTTAAAGACAACAGGCTTTAAAAAAAACAGCTGTTTTAGATGATTTGATGGAGATTTATTTAACTAATGAAAAACAGTCACAATAAAGCACACACATTTTTATTGATTCACTTCTCTCTTGCCATTTCCCTCCAGCAGTTATGCATAATTCAAAAGTGTGCAAAAAATAGATGGATGAAAACTAGAGGTCAATCAATATGGATTTTCTTTGGTTGGTGGAAATATTTTAAAAATCTGAGCAGCCAGTGGCCAATCTGTGATCCTAACTTTTTTTTCCTTGAAATTATTTTCTTTTTCCCCTTGTCTAAGAAAATTTATCAGGTAAATAATGCTTAAAGGGCTTCTATTTTACCCATTTTTAGAAGTCTTTGAGTCTTTGTTATCTGCAAAATGTCTCTCAAAATTGTCAGCTCAAAATACTCATTATGTTGTTTATTAAATAATGTACAATATGCCCATTTTAAGCTCAAAGCAAAGTGTAGCTGTTTTTCTAGCATGTGCTTTTAATGGCCCGTTTCCACTAAGTGGTACGGTATGGTTCGGTACGCTTTTATGGCCGTTTCCACTATCAAGGGGTACCTAAAAGGGAACCGTACCGTACCGCTTTTTCAGCACCCTTTGCAAAGTTTACCAAGAGTACTAAAAGGTGTAGCTAGACGCACAGCTGAACGCTATTGGTTTACAGAGATATGAGATATGCAACAGGCCAGAATGAAAACAAAGGAACCGCCATGTCTTAAATACACAGCCAAGAGATTACAGCATAATTATATATAAATATAATTACGAGCCATGGGCGACCTGAGCTCAAACAAACCTTGTCGTCATCTTGATGAACAGTCACAAAGCCAAGAAGAAGAGCAGATTTACGCTGTGCCCCGTAGTTTTTTACGAGCCCATCTGAAGCGAAAGTCAAGCAGTTTTGCTTTCTTGCTTGCACTCGCGTGCTAAAGAAACTTACGCGAAAAAACAAAGGAGAAACTGGAAAAAAGGAGCACATTATTTTTTCAGCAACCGCGAACAAACCGCCATGTTTAACTATTATTATATAGGAATGCTGTGATTCCCAACCTACTTATATAACTACTCATATAATAGCAATAACTAAAGAAGTAAAGTTCGTAGACAAACTACGGTGGCTTGAGAAAGCCTCGCCTGAAAGTTTGTAGTAGTATTAAAGTTTAAATAATTGAGGTAGTTTTTAAGAAGTTCGAAATAGTTGGCATAGATAGATAACTACATATATGTTAGCATGTTTGTTTTATGGATCGACATAGATATTTACTATTATGCTTGTGAGTATGTTTCTAGTAGGGGTTTGTATATTGTAAGTATGCATTGGTATATTGGTAGTATGATTAGTATGTTTGTTTTGTGGTATGGATTGGTGTGTTTCTAGTATGGATTGGTATGTCATTAGTGTGTTTCTAGTATGGATTAGTATGTTTAAAGTATGGATTGGTATGTTGTTAGTATGTCCAATGTAAAGTCAATGGCAGCTTTTTACAATAGAAGTGTATGGGACAGTTGCTAGGGTGCCATATGTGGTTGCTAGGGTGTGGTTAGTAAGATGAAATGTCATCAGTGATTGGAAGATTGGTGGAGTTAACTGAGCCCAACCGTAAGTCTGTATGACAGTCTGGCGTAGTTATGAGGTCACAAAGTTTGCTCCAATGTTAAGTCAATGGGACTTTTCCGAATTTTCCGGGACAGTTTTTGAAAAACCTTAATTCGGATCAGTTGGAAAAGATACAGCAACTTAATTCAGTATAGTTTGGAGGTTTGGAGTTAGTTTGGTGGTTGTAGTATGAATGCTCTAGGAGGAGATGTGTTCTTTAAATAGTCTATGAACAAGATGGAAGAAGATGAATAAGTTTATGTAGTATAACAGTTTGTTGGCTCTCAACCCACCTTAATAAAACTACTTATAGAATATAATACCAGTAATATATTCCTCCTAAATAAAAAAATAAAATAAAAGTATTATTTGTTTTAAATTTAGTCTCACTGCAGTCAAAAAACTAATATTACTATTTTTCTAAACCTATAGATTACACCACATATGCTAACTACATCCCCAACTTATTTTACCATGTTTTTATAGCCACTGAACTAAGATAATTATGCCAACATTCATTCTTACCACAAATGAATGCTATTTGCGGCTGTTGACACATTGAGTAGCAAAGTGTAAACATTCAAACCTAATTAGACCTTTTTTGTCATTACGTGTTTAAGTGGATCCAGATGTGCTCAAGCCTGTTGTCATCAGTCAGCACTGTCTCTTTATTTCCTCCAGTTCCCAATGGACCATCAGCAGCTCTGCCTCCACCTCCGCCTCCTCCACCTCCTCCACCGCCTCCTCCTCCTCCACCACCTCCACCTCCCGGTCATTCAATTGAGATCTCTGCTCCTTTACCTCCGCCTCCACCTCCATGTGCTCCTCCTCTGCCCGGCAGCGGCACACCAACCGTCATATTCAACTCTGGCTTGACAGGTATGTATATGCAAATGTGGGTCTGTGATTGCAGATTTGCTTCTTAATACTCTGTTTTGATTCTTTATTTTGTTTAGCTTAACTGCATTACCGGGCAAAAGTTTGGAATAATAAATTGAAAGATTTTTTTTAAATATATTTTTTCTTTACAAAAAACAAAAAAAAAACATCAAAACTTCTTTATATCCAAGCTTTCGCCTAGCTTTGTATTTGTCAAATCTTCTTGTTCCGCATTTCTTGGCACTTACAAACATTTTCTGCTTTCTCTTCCTTGACCTTTGTGCTTTATAACTCTCTAAACATTTGTTTTTATCTACTCTCTTTTTCTCCTGCCCTCAAAGATGGACCAATCAAGCTCTTCTGTAGGTTTCCATGTGTTTGTCATGGCTTCCATTTACTGTCATGATATAATTTTGTGCCTTTCTGCTTAACACACACAAATATTCTTGTAATTGCATTAATTTTGATGTAATGTTTTTGTAGTCACAGTCCCTTTTTTTATTTTCATTGGCAGCTGTGAAAATTAAAAAGCCAATCAAAACGAAGTTCCGCATGCCTGTGTTCAATTGGGTGGCTCTGAAACCAAATCAGATCAACGGCACCGTCTTCAATGAAATCGATGACGAAAGGATCCTAGAGGTATGCGTGAAATGTGTGATCTTTGCCAACTCATGCTTGTATTACACCACTTCTACTTCATTATTACATTCTGGGTCACTGATTCATATATATTATGATGATGCCAGATGGTGTTTATTGTCGAGTTTAGTGTCAGCACATTTAAAAGTCATTCTGCAACTGTTGTCATTCAGTCTCAGGTACAAAAAGTAAAACATAAAAAGCCTATCATGGCTGAATGTACTTCAATAGTCTGATGTATTTCGAGGTGGAACGGGTTGTTAAATGAGGAAATATTTAGGGTGGGATTCCATTTTGTGCCTCTGTAATTGATTATATAATGAAAATGGGCAACATAGGCTCATTCTAAAAACGTAACCCTATTTGCATTTCTGGAAATCGTGAATTGTGTAGTGTTACAACCCCTGGGGATTCTAGGGGAGTGGGGTTGCACACTTAACCAATTATCTTGTTCAAGCAAACTCTCAAAGAGGATTGTACTAATTAACAACCACAAACAAGAAATGCTGTGCAAATAATGTGATTATTACAGGTGGTGACTAGTGAAGCAGTGAGTTTTTTCAGAAACTGCCAACGGACTGAAATTTGGATGAGATCATCCTTTTGGCATTTATCAAACTGCTTGGATGAAGGATTACTAAGAAAAGCTTCCAGATTAGACAATGCCATTTTCGAATTACAAGCTAGTCAGAAGCAAATAGACAAATCAGTAACTCACTCCTTTAACCCCTTCAGACCCTGCGTCCAATACAATGAACATCACGACATCCCTTTTTTCTGAAATTTAAAACATAATTTAGGTCTGAAGGGGTTAATACTACCTCTTGTATAACCCACAAAATAATTTGGGCACAAAAAGAATTGAGTATCATTAGAACCAAAATCCTCAGAAATAACTGTTGGGATGTTAATTATCCCGGACGAGCCCCCATGTGCTGTAGTGCTGTCCCAATTCTTAGGGGTAAATTTTGAGGCCCTTCCCCTTCACACTCAGTTTTAAGGGGCAAGAGGAAGGGGGAAGGGGTACAAAAATAGAATTGGGATTGGGCCGTCTTACTAAATTACACTAACTATCCAATTAACCAAAAATACACAGTGTCAGCATTGGTTGTACCAAGTGTAAGTGAACCAGCTAGTCAGGAACAGCAGTAGACAAAAACAAGGAAGTGAACTGGGGTGATAGAAAGAAAAACATAATGAGACACTAATACAAACATAAAAAAAACAATACGTGCTGGCACGTAACGTGTAGTTAGAAGTATGCATGGTCGCATTTTGTCTTTAAAACAAATGCTATGAGGCAGTATGACGCTATTCCTTTTCGTGCGTTGATGGACTTGACAGAGAGGACTTGACCACAACGACGGGATTCAAGTCTGACAACGAACGTTTCTAGAAAGTGGGTAAGACAAAAACAGAAGCCAAAAAATAAAATAAACAAGTAAAACAACAGGGTGAGAATGTGGTAAAATCTAAAAACATGGTAAAAATCAGGCGAGGGCTTTTCTTTTTCTGGATTGCTTTTTTAAAAATGTTGGTACGGTTTAGGTAAATGATTGAGTGGGTCAATTGGTTTTGAAACGGGTTTAGGGAAGGAGGTTGGTGGGTCAGACGATCACTCAGTCAGTCATTCAGTCGACAGCAGCCTCTGGTGGATTCACGCGAGAACAGCACGGGTGAATGGCACTCGCAGAGAAATTTGAGATCTCAAAAAGCATATACAGCGATCTCTGGTGGATTCGCGAAAACAAAAACTGCAAAAGAACTTACCTCCTGGGACGTATTTGGCACTCTCCAGAAATGTGTATAGCGGTACATTTTCAGAATGAGCCTGGGTTGTCTTAAAAGTATAGTTCATCCAAAAAGCTTTCTTTCTTTCTTGATATCTTGATATTAGGTTTGCAGTGACTTTGTGCACATTTTTGAACACCAAAATATTTTGTTTAATGATTTCTGTGGATAGAAGCTTAACAGATCTCTTTGGTTTTAGGATTTGAATGTCGATGAGTTTGAGGAAATGTTTAAGACCAAAGCCCAGGGCCCCGCCGTCGACATGACATTGCAAAAACAAAAGGCTCCTCAAAAAGGCCCCAATAAAGTATCACTGCTGGAGGCCAACAGAGCCAAAAACCTTGCTATCACGCTCCGCAAAGCAGGCAAGAGCCCTGAGGAGATCTGCAAAGCAATTCAGACGTGAGTTCCCCATTAGCCTTTACAAGCAAATAGCTTCAGGTTTTGGTTTGGTTTTGGGGTTGGCTTATTGAGTAGCGATATCACCAGTTTCTTTCATTTCCCACAGGTTTGACCTGCGTACGGTGCCAGTGGATTTCGTAGAGTGTTTGATGCGGTTTATGCCCACTGAGAGTGAGGTGAAGGTGCTCCGTCAGTATGAGCGGGAACGACGGCCAATGGATGGACTCACCGATGAGGACCGCTTCATGATGCTCTTCAGCAAGATTGAAAGACTGCCACAGCGCATGACCATCATGGCCTTCATGGGCAACTTTACTGATAGCCTGCAAATGCTCACACCGGTAAGATGGACAGAGAAGTTAAGCGATTGAGTAATGTGTGTGTACATTGTATTCCTCGTTTTGTGGGGATCAAATGTCCCCAAAAGTATAGCAATACCAGTCACTTTTTTGGTCTCAATACGAAAAACAGGTCTGGAATCACACAGAAAAAAGTATTTTGAAAGTGTGTACGTGGACACATAATTATAAAATGACATGGGTATAACCAAAGTCGCTTTAAGGCAAGTCATTTCCAGATGTTTGAATCACACAAAATATACAGAAACTTTCATCTGGTCCCTCTGAGTATGAGTCCCTCTCCCAGAGAATCCTCAGTCCATAATGATCAATGATTGGCTCCTGTACTGGAAGGCGGGGCTTTATTCGCCATATTGATCGTTACACTTTCCCTCATTCAAAACTATGAGTCTATTGTCTTTTGTGTTTTACAGTCTTTGGTATAACCCAGTTGTACTCTATAAAGGTGGTTTATGAGGACATTCCTTAATTAAGAATGCTTAAAAATCACACATAACAGGGTTTTTTGACATTCAAAATTTGCTACAGGTTTCGTGTGAGGGTTTAGGGATAGGGTAGGGCCAAATAATAAGCGTTTTTTACAGTATAAAAAACTTTATGCCTGTGGAGAGTCCTTATAAACCTTATGTACAAGTGAGCATGTGTGTACAGGTTTATGTAGTTTACAGGGACATAAAGCTGTATAATGGCATGGGTATGACTGTGGTAATGATATGGATATGGGTGTTGTACTTTCCATTAAGGTGGTTTATGGAAAATCATACATAATGAGGGCTTTTGACATTCAAAATTTGCCACAGGCTTCCTCTGAGGGTTGGTTTAGGGGTTGGGCCAAATAATAAGCAGTTTTTACAGTACAAAATACATTTCATGAAGTGTCCCTGTAAACCATGTATACAAGATTGTGAGTCTGTGTGTGTTATTTTATTTATGCATTTATTTACTTTTTCTACAGCAACTTCATGCTATCATAGCTGCATCTGTATCAATCAAATCATCACAGAAGTTAAAGAAAATCCTTGAGGTAAGTCACGTTTATAGAACACTGCAACCAGGACTCTTGCCGTTTTACATGTCTTTCTAATTATAAGTCTGTATGTTCCTGTAATCTCAGATCATTTTGGCCTTGGGAAACTACATGAACAGCAGTAAGAGAGGAGCTGTTTACGGCTTCAAACTTCAGAGCTTGGATCTGGTAACTACTGGAACTCATTCTATGCACTGCCTTTTTTCTGAAATATATTGTTTAATTATAACCCTGTATTGTGTCTTGCCTTTAGCTGTTGGAGACCAAGTCAACAGATAGAAAACAGACCCTTTTGCACTACATAGCCAATGTGGTGAAGGAGAAATATCCCATTGTGAGCATTTTCTACAATGAGCTGCACTACATCGAGAAAGCTGCTGCGGGTGAGTGTCCACGCAGCCTCAGAATCTTTATTTTTAAATATAATTAATTTCAAATTAGGGTGGCAGGGCGCACTCTTATGGATAGGGTGAGGAGCTCTGACATTCGGGAGGGGCTTGGAGTAGAGCCGCTGCTCTTTCACATCGAGAGAAGTCAGCTGGGGTGGCTCAGACATCTGTTTCGGGTGCCTCCTGGACGCCTACCTAGGGAGGTGTTCCAGGCATGTCCCACCGGGAGGAAGCCTTGGGGAAGACCCAGGACACGCTAGAGGGACTATGTCTCTCGGCTAGCATAGGAACGCCTCGGAATCCCCCCAGAGGAGCTGGAGAAAGTGTCTGGAGAGAGGGAAGTCTGGGGTTCTCTCCTAAGACTGCTGCCCCAGCGACCCGGCCCTGGAAAAGCGGCAGAAAATGAATTAATGAATTAATGAATTAATTTCAAATACTTTAATCGGAAAAGGTTTATTGTACTTATCAATCATTATTACTGTTAAATAAAACTATTAATAACAAAAACATTCATTAAATAGATTTAAATTACATTGATAACTAATTTAAATGAAATAAATACAAAAATGACTAACACTAGCCAAAATAAAAATATAGGCTACGTAAACAAAGACTCATTTACTAAAATCGTTAATATTAACATTTGTGTATCATTAGGGACATTTTTGTCTCATTCGTTTTTGCTTTTGTGATGATTATTGCCTGTGTTTTAACAAACAGCATACATTTGCCTACAATCAAGAAAAGATTTTTGCTGCTTGTTCAAACTACTTATTAAAAATCAACCCGATTCTCAAATTTTTTAAAAACTTAATTGTTTTATGTTTAACTCACATTTGTAAAAATAATTAAGTTATTTTTGTCTGTGTGGAGTTTGCATGTTCTCCTCATGTTCGCGTGGGATAGTCCAAAGATATCCAAAGTCCAAAGATATGTGGTATAGGTGAATTGAGTAAACTAAATTGGCCGTAATGTTTGTGAATGAGAGTGTATGGATGTTTCCCAGTACTAGGTTGCAGCTGGAATAACTTGCCGGTTCATTCCGCTGTGGTAACCCCCTAAGAATAAAGGGACTAAGCTAAAGGAAAATGAATGAATGAACGGATTAATGAACGAACGAACGAACGAATGAATGAATGAATGAATAACCAAATAAATGAATAATCAATTTGTGTTGGGAGAATATGAAGGAATTATGTGAATGCTGGTATTTTTTACAGTATAAGTGGTGTATTTTGAAATTTTATTGGTACCTTAAATAGTTCCTCTCAAAAACTTCTAAACAAAAAACTGCCCATATTGAAACTCCTTAAAACTGCAATATTTCATCCATGTGCCATTTAAGCAAAAAAGTCATACATTATTAAACAGCTTCCATTTTGTCTGCAATGCTTTTTTTTAATGTAAAAATATTTTGGCACATGCATTCAGGTCCTGGAGGGCTGGTGTCCTGCATAGTTTAGCTCCAACTTTCTCCAACACACCTGCCTGGACGTCTAGTATACCTAGAAAGAGCTTGATTAGCTGGTTCAGGTGTGTTTAATTAGGGTTGGAACTAAAAAATGCAGGACACCGGGCCTCCAGGACCGAATTTGGACACCACTGCTGTAGAGCAAATATTACTGTTGTTTTTTTCTTGTAATTATAATTATGTATGTTGTTATGCATATCACAGTTTTTTTCTGTTTATAGATTTAGTATATAATAAAACATTATAATAAAAGTGGCATTATGTAAACAAACTGTAATTTAGATTTCATCATTCATTTTCTTGTCAGCTTAGTCCCTTTATTAATCAGGGGTCGCCACAGCGGAATGAACGGCCAACTTATCCAGCAAGTTTTTGCGCAACGGATGCCCTTTTAGCCGCAACCCATCTCTGGGAAACATCCGCACACACTCACACACACACACACACACTTATACACTACGGACAATTTAGCCTACCCAATTCACCTGTACCACATGTCTTTGGACTGTGGGGGAAACCGGAGCACCCGGAGGAAACCCACGCGAAGGCAGGGAGAACATGCAAACTCCACACAGAAACGCCAACTAAGCCGAAGTTCGAACCAGCAACCCAGCGACCTTCTTGCTGTGAGGCGACAACACTACCTACTGCGCCACTGCCTTGCCCAACTGTAATTTAAATGTCCTTAAAATCAATCAAATAAAATTTGCGGTTAACATCAGGGCTAATGCTTGTAAAGAAATGTATGAAATCAGTGAACACTCAAAGTAGGTTTACTGTTTGTTCAAACAACTTATTTAATATAAGCTGAAACAACACAATTATTTAGTTGTTTTTTGACCATTTATTTGTTTTATGTTCAAATATTCCATCCACTTAAATTTGTTAAAACTAATACGTTAACTCAATTCTTTCAATATGTCCAAACACAAATCAATTGTGTGAAACTTAGAGAATGAAAAAAAGCATGTTATATTTTATAACTATATTATTTATAATTTTTCGTCCTCAATGGATCTATGTAAAAAAACTAAGTGATATAAAAGCATTAAAATACGTTTTAAATTAATAACAAATACACTGCACAAAACGCATTTCTTACTTAGAATTTTTGTCTTCTTTCTAGTCCAAATATCTAAAAAGTCTTATATCAAGAAGCATTTTCTAGGCAAGCAAAACATATTGTCTTATTTTCAGAAATAATATGCCAAAATTAGGTGAGTTTTTCCTTAAAACAAGCAAAATAATCTGCCAATGGGGTAAACAAAATAATCTTATGTCAAAAGGAATAACAGGATTATTTTGCTCATCTCATATTCTTGTAAATGAGCATTTTCTTTCAGGCTCCCTTGATTTTGGCATATTATTTTTGAAAACAAGACAATATGTTTTTCTTGCCTAGAAAATGCTTCTTGATTTAAGAATTTTTAGGTATTTGGACTAGAAATAAGACAAAAAATCTAAGTAAGAAAATATTTTTTTGCAATGTACTTCAAATAAACCATGACAGGTATACGTGATTGAGTATTTAAAAACATTAAAACAACACTGTTTTTAATGCGTGCAGGTAGAAATATGAAGAGTGATTGTACTGTATTACGCTACAGAATGTCAGTTTTTGATGGTGGATCTCATTAACCTCATGTTGCAGTCTCTCTGGAGAACGTTCTCCTGGATGTGCGAGAGCTACAGAGAGGTATGGATCTGACTAAAAGAGAGTACAGCATGCACGGCCACAACTCTCTGCTCAAAGACTTCATCCATCACAACGAGGCCAGGCTGAAGAAGCTCTTGGATGATGCTAAAATTGCACAGGTAGCAAAAAAAATCTTTTCTATACGTATTTATGATTGAATATATTCGCTGGTAGTTGGACCAGCATGATACACGTGGCTTGCCTGTGATTTCAGGATGCCTTTGACGAAGCTGTTAAGTTTTTCGGGGAGAGCGCCAAGACCATGCCACCCTCTGTGTTCTTCCCTGTGTTTGTTCGCTTTATCAAGTCCTATAGGGTGAGTCTGGGAAACACCAGTATTCAAGACTTTCTAGTTTATACAGGGACAAGGTCTAATATGTGCGATTGTTGTTTTTAGCAAGCGGATGAAGAGAATGAGCTGAGGAAGAGGCAGGAGCAGCTGATGATGGAGAAGCTTATGGAACAGGAGGCCATGATGGAGGAGCAAGAAAGTCAACAGGTAAGATGAGAACTAAAAACCTGAATTGATCAAACTGAAAATCAATCTAAATGTGAAACTGATACAGTTGAAGTCAGAATTATTAGCCCCCCTAACTTGTTGGCCCCCTGTATATTTTTCCCAAATTCTGTTTAACAGAAATATTTTTTTAACACATTTCTAAACATAATAGTTTTTTTATTTTTGTCTTTGCTATGATGACAGTAAATAATATTTTACTAAATGTTTTTCAAGATACTAGTATTCAGTTTAAAGTGCAATTTAAAGGTTTAACTGTTAATTAGTTTAACTAGGCATGTTACGGTAATTGGCCAAGTCATTATATTACAATGGTTTTCTTTTGCAGACAACAAGGTTATTTTATATAACGAAAATGAGTCTAGGCAATAGCCTAGTGTTTAGCACGCTGACATATGGTGCAGTAGCACTTCAGGGCGTCCTGAGTTCGAATCCCGGCTCGATGACATCTCCCGACTCTACCCCCTCTCTCTCTCTCCTACTTTGTTTCCTGTCTAAAATACTGTCCTATCCTGTCAATAATGCCAAAAATAAATCTTAAAAAAAAAAGATAATGAAAACGAACGAAAAAACGAAAACTAAAATGTAAAATAATTGTCGTTAACTGACATAAAATAAAAACAAGTTTGTTTTTTTTTTAAACTAGAACTAAATGAAACTGTATTGTGTACATACAAAACTAACTGAAACTAACTAAAATTATAGCAAAACCTCTTTCGTTTTCGTCTTTGTAAATGTATTTAATACATAATCTTACTGTAAGCCTTTTAGAAGTACATATAATTCACGCTGCAGGTGTTTGACCCGTACGGCACTTCATAGTCTGTAGTCCTGCTGCCATTGGCCAGATCGATCCGGTTCTCCTCCAGTCATCCTCGCTGTTGCTCCCGCGACAAAAAACAACGAGTGGACATGACAGCAGCATGTTATCAGCATTAAATACAGACACTTAAAACTATTACTTTAACACATTTGTGACCAATAAGGTTTTATAACATTTACATTTGTGACCAGCAGGTTTTCCCTGCTGAAAAATCCAGCTTAAACCAGCCTAGGATGGTTGACTGGTTTTAGCTGGTCGACCAGCCTGGTTTTAGAGGGGTTTTGGCCACTTCCAGGCTGGTTTCCAGCTATTTCCAGCCTGGAAACCAGCCTGGAAGTGGCCAAAACCCCTCTAAAACCAGGCTGGTCGACCAGCTAAAACCAGCCAACCATTCTAGGCTGGTGTAAGCTGGATTTTTCAGCAGGATTATTTCTGTATCGCAAACAAATCTTTTTAACTGGATCTTCTAAGTAAACCGGTTGAACTAGTTCACCAAACTGAATAATTTGAAACGATTCACATCTCCAGAAAGCACTTATCCACAAACTACTTACTTTTTAAAGGGTCACGAAACACCAAAACACATTTTTTGAGCTGTTGACAGTCGTATATGTGTCCCACACTGCTAAAAACACTATTAGGACACCTATATTTCACTAAAAAGTGTAAATTGGTTGTTTTTGCGTTATTTTAAGCAAATTCGTACTTCCTGTTTGAAACAAATTTTTGAAGCTGCGTCACGGTCATGACATAATAGCCTGTATTCCAGCGTGCAGACTAAACGTCTGTGCCAGAGTGAGTCTTATTACATCTTACAGTGTGTTGCATTAATGCATGAGTAAGGCTTGGTTCAAACCAATCAGCGCGCTCTATTGTGCAACTTCATTAATATTCATTACTGTCACAGTGTAGACGGCAAAGACGCCACGTTGTGTTGGCAAAACAAGCGTGAAGTGTTGCTTTTATAGTTTGCTGCAGTTAAGTTTCGTTTTCATTTTCTCTCTGTGAGAGCGCAGACTCACGCGTGGATTAACAGTGTACGCGACGCTCGACAACAATAACTTACGTGTCTAAGGAGGATTATTGTTTACCTGAGAGCTGTTCTCATCTGCAAACGCTGAGATCCAGATTTGCTTGTAGTCTCCTTTAAATAAAGACGCGGCTCTAGTTGCTGGTGATTGTCCTGTCTCTACAGATTTGGTAAGTGAGCGACCAGTGCTCTTTGTTTATTCAGTTCGTATTTTATTCGTATCAAACAAACTATTGCACCGAGTGCAATAGTTAGCACTAACAGTTACAACCAAACTATAACCTCGTGTTGGATTTTGTGACCGGAATAACACACACGGCTTTCTGACGCTACCTGCCGTGTGTATCTAAGTTTCCGGGAAATGCTGAGTTTTTTTTCTCTCATTCGCCGTGCGGTATCAAACATTGTATGAAAAATACACGCCTAGAGCAGTTCCTTGAATCAAATATCACGTTTGTCGGGAGGGACATTAATGAATTCCCTGAATGAAAGAGCCAAACTGCAGTTAAAGTCCACCATTTAATAATTTGGCAAATAATTCGACTACAGATGTCCATGTAAACACAGTCACATTGTCTGCTGTGGGTGTGTGTTTTGACTCTGAAATTCAGCGCGCCCAAATAGACACTCCCATACCAAGCCGCTTTTCTTTTTCCGACACTCCCCCCTAAACAAAGCTGGACACACCCACTTTTCTGACTTTTTCCAAAGTAGAGGTGTGAAAACACACTGCTGAAACGAGGGGGTTTCATGGCCCTTTAACAAGCCTAATACCCCCCTCTAACTCTAAATAATTCAATATATACTCTTATTCAGTTATTAGACCAGTAATGTTACACTGAGATTAAACTTAAGAATCGGTTAACCGATAACACTGCGCATGTGTGATTCAGCGAACCAAACACAAAGAGTACATGACAGCCTGCTGTGACTGAACTAAACTTGAACAACTGCAGCGCGGGTAAACCGAGGGCTTAAATGAGAGAATCTGTTGAAAAACGTAAGTTGATTTCATAACAGAAAATCGTAACGGAAGTTAAATAAGTGAATCATGCTTCAGTTGGGTTGCAAAACTTTACTGTAAGACATTTTTCAGATCACGGTGATGTTTTAACTGACTGAAATTACTATCGCTGACTACATAATGTTGAGTCATCCGCGTTAAAGATCTGAACTTCCCATCACTACTGTGTATCTAACCCCAGAAGCAGCCTTGCACACATATTGTACTTAAGGCTTCTATCCTGTGGGCTGTTGTATTTGAATTTGACGATGGGTAGATGATAGTGGTAGATGATAGTGTTTATGTGTCCTCTGAATACATGTTTCAAAAAATGTATAGCTGAGTTTTTATTATACAATATTTATTCTGTTAATTTTGAAACTTGCACTTAACAAATCCTTATTTAGAACAAAAACTCAAACTAATACTGAAACTAATAAAAACTAGTAAATCTGTATCTAAAAACTAATTAAAACTAACTAAATTTGAAAACAAAAAGCCAAATCCAAATAGAAACTAAAACAAATAAAAAAATACAAAACTATTATAACTTTGGCAGACAATTGAAAAAATATTGCTTGAGGGGGCTAATAATATTGACCTTAAAATTGTAATTTTTAAGAAGTAAAAACTTTTAATACTGTGAAAAATGTCTTGCTCAGTTAAACATCCAACTTGGATTCTGAAACGTAGCCCTATATAAATTTATGGAGATCGCAAATTATGTAGCCAGAAGTATGTATTTCGTCTTTAAAACGAACACTCTAGGGCCGTATGACACCGTTCTATTCCACTTACCTCATTATCAACGCAGCTTTCCCGCTGTTACCAGTTTGTTCAGTGGCTCGTCATGTACGTTGGCGGACTCGAGACGCAGAGAGCAGTTGACCATGATGATGAGGCAACAGCAAAGAACGGTTCCAGAAAACTACTAAGACAAAAACAGAAGCCAAGAAATAAGTTAATCAAGTAAACATTGAGAGGGGGACACGATGGCGCAGTATGTACCTCTGTCACCTCACCTCATAAGCTAAAATAACCGTAGTGGATGAGTGGGATTGCAAGAGTGTATGGGTCTTTCCCAGTGCTAGGTTGTGGCTGGAAGGGCATCTGCTGCATAAAACATCCGGAATAAGTTGGTGGTTCATTCTGCTGTGGTGAGCCCTGATTAATAAAGGTACTAAGGCCGAAAAGAAAATGAATTAAAGTAAACAACAGGGTGAGAATGTGATAAAATCTGAAAATGTAGCAAAAATCAGGCAAGGGCTTTTCTTTTTCTGGATTGCTTTTGAAAATACTGTCGGTTGTGTTTAGGGAAGTGGGTGGGTGGGTCAATTAGTGCTTTTAAAAATACTATTGGTTGGGTTTAGGGTAAGTAGAGGGTGGGTCAGTTGATCAGTCAGTCATTTAGTCAGTCGACAGCGGTCTCTGGTGGATATACGGGGGAACCGCAGGCACGAATAGCACTTGCGAAAGAAATTTGAGATCTCAAAAAGCATTCACAGTGCCCTCTAGTGGATTCGCAAAAACAAAAACTACAAAAAAACGTACCTCCTGGGACATATTTGTCGATCTCCAGAAATGTATGTAGCGGCTACACTTTTAGAATGAGCCTGGGTTGTAAATATCATTTGGTAAATATTTTAAAAAGAAGAAAAATTCAAATAATTTTAAAAAGAAGGACGAATAATTTTGACTTCAACTATACATACATAAATCAAGATAAATGAATATCATTAACAAGATTTTTAATTGAATCAAATGTTATAATATTTGTGTTCATAGCCCAATCTAGAGTGCACTATAATGTACATTAAAGAAATATTGGTAAGTGTGAAGATTACAGAAAAGCTTTGTGCATTAACTGGATGTTCTTTCCACTTGTATCATGCCCAAACACCAGTCGCCGTCTCACAAGGGTAAGCGGCAGCAGCAAGAGCTTATTCACGAGCTAAGAAAGAGACAAGGCAAAGACAGCCGCCTTGTTTATGAAGGCAAAGATGGAGCCATCGAGGACATCATTACGGGTAAGAGCCAAAGCCAATTTCATCTTGATGTACATACGACGATTGAATCTGTTTTCCTAAGTGTATATCATTCTTGTTATTTTGATAGTACACGTAGAGTAGCAGTAGATGCTATGCTGCTTAGCATTACTAGAGTTTAGAGGCTTGAAGTTTGTGTCTAATTCTGAGCCTTTTTTCTAAAGCTTGTAGCTTTTGGTGTTTCTGTGTTGTGATTGGCTATTGTTTTGCTGCAGTGCTGAAGACCGCCCCTTTTACCGCTCGATCAGCCAAACGCGGCTCGCGGTTCTTCTGTGATCCCGCTCTCTCCGAGGACTTCCATTACTAAACTAAACTCTGTCCCCTCAGAAAGGTGCTTTTATGTCCGTCTGTTCTTCGCTCGTCTTCTAGTCATTCCCTCCATTTCTTCATCTATATCTGTTTCTTCTTTATGTATTATTCACATTGGTAAGGGTGAATTTTCTACATGAAAATGCTTGCATCTCATTTTTCCATTTCACATTTCACAAGTCTAGTCACTGATTCCAAAAAAAATAATAATTCTCCCATTAAGAAGTTCTAATATGATTTCAAACGAAATGTGTGTCTTGATAACCACCTTCGGTATAATGTGACTTATAAGGATGCACCAATCAAATTATGACTCATATGATAACAGATTAATAAGCAATATCAAAACTATTTCATATTTTCTAAATAAATGTAATGTAAAATGTCAAAAATTAAAAGCAAAAATTCAACTATTCCATTTTTTCTAAGTAAATGTAATGCCTGTAACCCGGGGTGTGACACTGACAACCGAGGTGAGGGTCCACATGCAGGTTTATTAGAATCGTCAGGCAAGCAGTGGTCAAAACTGGGGTAAACAGATGTACGAGGGCAATCCAGAGTCAAAGTCAAATTAACAGGCAATAGGTCACAGGGGCAGGTAGCAAACAGGAGGAAACAAATAAACGCGGCAAAGGATCAAAACACGGCAAAGACAGACAAAGGAAACGCGTTTTAGTGTCACTGTAGCAGATAACAAGACTCAGCCATGGGAATGAGTGAGTGTGCTGTTTAAATAGTGTGTCTAATCAGTCTTTGACAATCCTCAGGTGGAGCGAGTGTAATCAGTCAGAATCTATAACATGTGTGTGAACAGAGTGCATGTATGAAGTTGTAGTCCATGAACTGGCTGATTTGTAGTTTGTATGAATGTGAATGTTTTCCAGCGACCTCTGGTGGTTAGAGATCGCTGGTGATCATGACAATGCCTCAACCTAATTTAGATTCTGCTATATGAATAATGGGTCACACTTTACAACTAGGTTTCATTAGTTTATGTATTTACTAAACTGAACTAATTATAAACGATACTTGTACAGCATTTATTAATCATAGTTCAACATTTTTTAATGCATTATTTACATCCAAATTCATGCTTGCGTTAACATTAGTTAATGCATCGTGAGTTAAAAGTGCAGTAGGTGCTAACCGCTTAGCATATTAGCTTTGGACGGCGGAGAGGTACTGTGATTCAAAGCCACGCCTCCTGAAATCACGAACGCCCCCACCGCGTCACTACAGCAGACAACCCACTAGTTCATGTCATCCGCCATTAGTTAGAGTTTGGCTAGCGGTGTGCAGGAATTACATTTATTACTAAGCCATACTTACATGCTATTTCAGAGCGAATATTCAGAGTAGCATGGTAAACAGTAAAGGAAGGCTGTCATTAAAATGAACCAATGTGAATATAAAAGCAACTTCAGCTTAATAAAGCAGCGGAATAGCGCTATTTACTGATGTTTTGTCGTTAAACTAAATAAAAATCTACATTATCAATGCTGTCAAGGGTCCCTTATAAAACTAAAAATAGTCACATCAATCTTTTGCTGGGAGATTTTACTGGCTGAACACGTCTGTGCATATACGCCATTCATAACACAACTCACTCTAACGTGAGCTTAGCCTGACAATAATAGTGTTAAAACAGAACATTACCTGTCTAACAGTAATACTTCAGCTATGGTGTCGTCCTTAATCCAGTATGCAAATGTAACTCCAATTTTGATTCAGGATTTTCAAAAGTTTCAATTCAGTATTTGATTGCTGACAGACAGTTTAAACTACTTATCGGAGTTATGGTAGATGTCGGCCCGGCAATATTTAATTGGATGAACATTTTTTAGTTTTATGCCTTACCCCGAATATAAAAATACATATAAACACATTTAGATCATTTACTTTAATTATTACTATTGGACTGTGAAGAGACTTTTAACCAGCACAACAAAAAATGTTTCTTAAGACTATCACCTACTTCAACGTACTAACAACCTTATTTTCATTAATTTGTAATAAATGTATTGTTCATTGTTTGTTCATGTTAGTAAATGCATCACTTAGCATTAACTAATACAGCCTTATTGTTACCGAAAAACAAATACTACATTTTAATTTGCTAAACATTACATTTCATAACAAGTCAAATCAGCGTTCTTGCCGCACAATGCCCCGTCACCTATGGTAAGCACTCGGTCCCCTAATATGATTTTAGCCACAAGGATTCAACACCACTGTGCCCTCATGCTGCTTAAACTTAAATTAACCAGATATTTTTTAAAACTATTTGGTAATTTTTTGATTATTCTAATTGGGTTATAAATGAGTAAAGTTATCAAAATTGCCCCAAAGTGCTGTATGTGCTATGTGCTCATTAGCATTGGAGATGATTGTACAAATAATTTAGCAATCTTTTCCTAAAAATAGGCTTAGTAAAGCATGTAAAATGACATGTTCAAATTATTTTTATATTAATGTCTTTTAATTCTAGTGTAAGCTATTTCAATTGTTTTAGAAAAGTTTATTTTTTTTCTTTTTCCTTTTTATTTTACAAAACTTCAGACAAAATATGTTTTCCTTCCTTGTTTTCATTACGTTTTTAAAAACTGTTAACTTTCATGGAGTGCTCAGGTTTGCATCTTTAAACAGTATCTAATTTGTTTCAAATGTAAAGTAGAAATCAACAATCTCAGCCATAGTTCACATGCAGAAGCCTCCTTTTTCTTACAAACAATGGTAATAACTTCTTGATTGTAGTAAAGATTGCAATATTAAATAAATGTGTTATGAAAGATAACCGTAATGCAAAGTAGGCAAATCGTGTTTGCACAATTTAAACTAATAAATTAATTGTTTGATAAAAAAATAAACATTTTGTTGTTGTTTTGCTTTAGATTGCAATTAGCATGTAATGATTGTTAAACAATACATTAACAATTACCATAAAAATTTATGTTTAAGTTTCCATTTTCAACCATCATATACAATCAACACAGGCTCATTGTGAAAACGTAGCCTTATATTCGGTCGGTTGGTCAGTCAGTAAGTCAGTCAGTCGACACCTGCCTCTGGTGGGTTTACTTGAGAATATCAGGCGTGAATGGCACTCGGGACAGATCTGAAAAAGCGTACACAACAGTCTCTGGTGGATTCGCAAAAACTGCAAAAAAAAAAAAGTAGCTCCTGGGATCTCTTTTGCTTTCTCCAGAAATATATATAGGTGTACATAATCAGAATGAGCCTGGGTTGCATGTTCAGTTGAAGTCAGAATTATTAGTCCCCCTCTGCATTTTTTTTATTATTTTTTAAATATTTCTTAAATTATGTTTAACAGAGCAAGGACATTTTCACAGAATGTCTAATAATATTTTTTCTTCTGGTAAAAGTCTTATTTGATTTATTTCGACTAAAATAAAAGCAGTTTTTAATTTTTTAAAAGCCAATTTAAGGACAAAATTATTAGCCCCTTTAAGCAAAATTTTTTTTCCTATAGAACAAACCATCATTATACAATGAAATGCCTAAATACCCTAACCTGCCTAGTTAACCTAATTAACCTAGTTAAGCCTTTAAATATCACTTGTATATGTAGTCAAATATTATTTACTGTCATCATGGCAAAGATAAAATAAATCAGTTATTAGAAATGAGTTATTAAAACTATTATGTTTAGAAATGTGTTCCTCCGAACAATCTGAAAATTCTTCTCTCCATTAAACAGAAATTGGGGGAAAAAATAAACAGGGGGGCTAATAATTCAGGAAGGCTAATAATTCTGACTTGAACTGTGTATGGAGCTGTAATATTGTGCATCCCTACAAAACTGATCTAAAACTAACCCAACATCACACATTTGCCTGCTTCAGCCTCGCCTCATCATCATAATATCCGCAAGCCGACCCTTAAGTTGTTTTTCCACCAATAACAGTTGACCTGTTTTTCTCAGACCTGCGCAACCAACCCTTCAGACGGGCTGATGCCCTCAGAAGGAGCGGGAGAAGAAACTTAGAGGTGCAGCACCTTCAGCTACGGACCGTGGAGATCAGCACATGCTAGCCACCATTGTTCAGCTTTTGAATCTACTGAAAACAACACACACAAACACACACACAAAAGCACACTTCAGACCAAGGATAGATGGAGAAATGTGACACGAACACTTCTGTTTACCTGGGATCTGGAATCTCGATTTAATGGACTGTTTTATGTTGGAGAGAACAATGAATATTGTGAATCCTACAAATGGACGATGAGCTAGCAAATGATTTAAGACATTTGGGTTTTATTTCCACGAAAGAGCAGAATGAGGTCTTGGATTTTGGCCTACTTGTGTCGTTTTACCACCGTTTTAAAGCTGCGGGTTTTTCTGAGGGGAAGAGTTACAAGATGCACTTTTATTTTTTATCTTTAAACATTGAACTCGGATCATCTCAACTGGACTTGTTTTCGTTTTTTTTTAAATGTGGATGAAGCTGGACTTGGTACTGTAATGCTATTGAGGTGCTTCTTTGCAGATTTAAACATGTTTACTACCAAGCATTCACTACCAGTGTGACATTGTACACATCTCATTTTAATAATCACAGACTTGCTCTCCTACCGGTTTTATCTCATGTGACGTTTGTGAGCTGTGAAAAAGAGTTTGCTGTTTTTTTTAAAAACAAAAATCAAAGACATTTCATTGGACAAAAAAAAAGGCTTTTTTTTAAATGTACAGATATTTTGCTACGAAATCGAGCCTCTTATTTTTTACATTGTTCATCCATTGTGGTGCTGTACATATTGTTGAAACGAACCGACCTGTCCTGCAATATCACTGGAATGTTATTGACTTTTTATGTTGTGTAGTTTGACAGTATTATTTAATTGGATGGTGAAGACGCTGAATCAACTTTCTCTGTGACCTGAATTGCTCTCTCTCATCACTGTTGTTGCATAATGGTAAATGTCTGTGGTTGCACGTAACACTTGAAAGCTTGAGCAGACACTAGTGGCACATTTAACGTTTTTCTACTTTGATCTCTTTAACTGGAATCAGTGGTTGTGTGCAAATAAAGCAATGACACCAGCACCGTTAAAAAAAATCTAAAGTCGATTCTTTGTGCGGTCAATGTGAATTTTATTGGTTAGTGGTTTAATTTGGGTCACAATTCACGGTATCAACAAACCATTAACTAACAAACCATTAATAAACTACTAATTTCCTGTTTGTAAATAGTTAGTAAGGAAGCAGTTGGGTTTAGGTCTTGGTCATTTGTGGTAATAACCCAGTAGTTAATCCAAGAATTGTGACGTAAACTAAAATGTAACCTAAACCACTATTGTACTGCAATTGGCATTAGATTTATAGCAACAAGACTACATTTACATAGACATCAGGTATCAAATTATTTGCCTTAATCTGAATAAGACAATAATATAATTAAGGTGTGATTAACGTCATTGCGTCATCGCGCTATCCACATTTCCGCCAAAGTTTCATGTAATTTCGACTGTTTTATTTTTCATTTGTCTACTTTAACTGCAGTTTGGCACTTTACCTTTCATTCAGGAACATTTCATTCATGCCCCCGTGACAAACAAGATATTGGATGCGAGTATTAACTGCTTGAAGACTGTTGTTTTAATGGAATTTGATACTGCACGTCATATTGGGAAACAAACAGCATAGTCTCATTCTGAAAACGTAGCCCTATATACGTTTCTAGAGATCAAGAGTTATGTAGCCAGAGGTATGTATGGCTGCATTTCATTTTTACATTTTTTTTTCAAGCTTACCAGCTGACCACTTACCTGCGTATGGACTGCTTTCCCACTGTTACCAGTTTGTCTGGAAGCTCTCCATGTACGTTGGTGAACTTGAGATGCAGAGAGAAGTTGAGCACGACGACGGGGTTCAAATCCAGAAAAGAACGTTTCCAGAAAGCGGGTAAGACAAAAACCAACTCATGCTTATTCTGAAAACGTAGTACCGTGGACGTTTCTGGAGAGCGCGAAATATGTCCTGGGAGGTACGTATGGCTGCATTTCATTTTTTTAAACGAACTCTATGGCGCGGCATGACGCCGTTCCCTTTCGCGCTTACCGGGTGACCGCTTACCTCCATGTGGAGGGCTTTCCTGCTGCAACCAGTTTGTCCAGTCAGCTCATCGTGTACGTCAGCAGACTTTGAGACGCAGAGAGGAGTCGACCACGACGACCGGGTTCGACTCCGGGGAAGAGCGGTTCCAGAAATCAGGCAAGACAAAAACACAATCCAAAAAATAAAGCGAACGAATTCATAAGAGGGTGAGAATGTGGTGAAGTACGAAAACGTGGTAAAAAAATTAGACGAGGGCTTTTCTTTTTCTGGACAGCTTTTGTAAATTGTTGGTTGGGTTTAGGGAAGTGAGCGGGCGGGTGGGTCAATCAGTAAAATTGGTTGGGTTTGGGAAGGGTGGAGAAGGGGAGGGGGGGTGGTCAGCTGATTGGCCGGTCGCACAGTCAATCATTCAGCTCTCGCAAGAGACATTTGAGATACGAAAAAGCGCACACAGCGGCCTCTCGTGGGTTTGCGAAAACAAAAACTGCAAAAAACACGTACCTCCCGGGACAGATTTGGCGGTCTCCAGAAACGTCCACTGGACTACGTTTTCAGAATGAGCCTGGGTTGACAAAAACAGAAGTCACAAAATAAAACAAACAAGTAAATAACAGGGTGAGAAGGTGGTAAAATCTGAAAACGTGGTAAAAATCAGACAAGGGCTTTTGTTTTTTCTGAAACAAAAGTTAAAACTGTTGGTTGGGTTTAAGGAAGTGGGTGGTCAGGTCAGGCGGTCGACAGCAGCCTCTGATAGAGAACAGCAGGCGCGAATGGTACTCGCAAGAGAAATTTGAGATCTGAAAAAGCGTACACAGCGGCCTCTAGTGGATTCGTGAAAGCAAAAACTGGGACGTATCTCCTGGGACGTATTTGACATTCTCCAGAAATGTATATATCGATACGTTTTCAGAATGAGTTTGAGTTGCAATTAACAGTTAGTAAGGTAAAAGTTTGTTTTAGGTTTTTGGGTAGGATTAGGGATGCAGAATAATGTCATACTTTATAACTACTAAAGAACAATTAATATCTTAATGATAGGCAGGTAATAAGCCAGTAGTTAATTGCATGAATTGTGACCTAAAAGTGTTGTCAAAACATTAACTTTACTGCAATTGGAATTGTTTTTTAGTGAGAATTTTGATTCTAGATACCATACTAGGGCTGCACGATATTGGAAAAATCTGACATTGCAATATTTTGTTTTTCTGTGTTATATATCGTATGTTGTAACCCAGGCTCATTCTGAAAAAGTAGTCCCGTGGACGTTTTCTGGAGACTGCGAAATACATCCTGGGAGTATGTATTTTTGCAGGTTTTGTTTTCGCGAATCAGCGAGAGGCCGCTGTGTACGTTTTTTCGTATCTCAAATGTCTCTCGCGAGTGCCATTCGCCCCCGCGCTGTTCTCGTTTAAACCCACCAGAAGCTGCTGTCGAATGACTGAATGATTGACTGGGCGACCGGGCAATCGACTGACCCACTCTCTTCCTTCCCTAAACCCAACTAATTTTACCGATTGATCCGCCCACCCACTTACTTCCCTAAACCCAACCAACGGTTTACAAAAGCCGTCCAGAAAAAGAAAAGCCCTCGTCTAATTTTTACCACGTTTTCAGATTTTATCACATTCTCACCTTGTTATTTACTCGTTACTGAGCAATCTGTGCATAGACATGGAGAGAAGTTTGATTGTTTTAACTGTGCGCTTGCTGTTTAAGCTGAAAAAAAGGAGAGAACTTCCTGCAATATCCAAAAAAAACTAATTTAATTTAACCACTTTTTTCTCTATGATTTGTTCCCACCATCTGAGGGCCCTGGCTGGACCCAGACATCAGTGTCCATCAAACCAACATCTGCGCCAGAGACCAGGCTACAGTTTGCTTGCCATGGCTTTTTGATGTACAATTGAAGTCAGAATTATTAGCCCCCCTGAATTATTAAACCCCCCTGTTTATTATTAGTAGATTTTTCAACACATTTCTAAACATAATAGTTTTAATGTCATCTCTAATAACTGATTTATTTTATCTTTGCCATGATGACAGTAAATAATATTTGACTAGATATTTTTCAAGATACTTCTATACAGCTTAAAGTGACATTAAAAGGCTTAACTAGGTTAATTAGGTTAACTATGCAGGTTAGGGTAATTAGGCTAGTTATTGTATAACGATGGTTTGTTCTGTAGACTATTGAAAAAAAATATATAGCTTAAAGGAGCAAATAATTGTGTTCTTAAAATGGTGTTTAAAAATGAGTAACTGCTTTTATTCTAGCTGAAATAAAACAAATTAGACCTTCTCCAGAAGAAAAAATATTATCAGACATACTGTGAAAGTTTCTTTCCATTGTTAAAAATCATTTGGGAAATATTTAAAAAAAAGTTTAAATTCAAAGGGGGGCTAATATTTCTGACTTCAACTGTTCATGGGACAGCAATATCAAGTACAAAAAAAAATTGCAGTATTTGAGCTTTTCTGGAGGTTTCCACATTTGAATTCAATCAGCTTGACCTCCAAGATTTCAGGGTTCTTGATATCCCAATGTAGAACACCCCAGGAACAGCAGAGGGTAGCAGCTTTAATCCCCATGAAATGACGAGCCATCTCCGCACTCAAATTGCTGTCGTAATGCAGCCAAAAATGGAAGATGTTTATGCAGGGCGAGGGCTGCTCTATGACCATGACAGTCCCTCCGTCTCAGCAGATGTGATGCACTAGCCCCTGCTGACAGACGGACTGGACTGTCTTGATCTACTGGCTGGACGACCTCCACTTGCTGGCCTTCGCAGTGGGGGGTTCAGAATAGATGAAAGGAGGCTCCTGATGGCAGTTGTCCTCTACAATGCAGATGCAGAAACGTCTGATCTAAAGAATATCAACTAAAAGCTTGTTTTCATCAAAGAATAACTGTAAAACTTTTCACAATCATTCAATTAATGGGTTAGTTCACCCAAAACATGAAAATTCTGTTATTAATTTCTCATCCTCATGTTGGTCTAAGACCTTCAATAATCTTCGGCAATACAAATTAAAACATTATAGATAAATTATAAATTAGTTAGACTATTATTGGTGCAGATCAGAGAGCTCTCTCATCCAGTGCTTTCTGCATCTGGTACATGTGTCTCTAAACCTCCTGGGGGGAGAGGGTAACCTACGCGCTGAAAAGTGTGGCACATCCTAACCCTTTTTTTTGGATCATATTTTTTTCTTTATTTTTAGAGAAAACTTCAGTGGCGTAGTAGGTAGTGCTGCTGCCTCACAGCAAGAAGGTCACTGGTTCGAGCCTCGGCTGGGTCAGTTGGTGTTTCTGTGTGGAGTTTGCATTACTGGTGAATTTGGTAGTCTAAATTGTCTGTAGTGTATGAGTGTGAATGAGTGTGTATGGATGTTTCCCAGAGATGGGTTGCAGCTGGAAAGGCATCCGCTGTGTAAAACATATGCTGGATAAGTTGGCGAGTCATTACGCTGTGGCGACCCCTGATTAATAAAGGGACTAAGTTGAAAAGAAATTAATAAATGAATGTTCTCTGATGAGTCCACTCTTACAGTCTTTCCCACATCCGGAAAAGTTACGGTATGGAGAACCCCCAAAGAAATGTACCACCCAGACTGTTGCATGCCCGGAGTGAAGCATGGCGGTGGATCAGTCAAGGACTACTGAACTATTTTGGAGGACCATGTGTACCCAGCGGTTCAAACATTGTATCCTAAATGTGGTATCGTGTATCAGGACGATAATACAATAATACAGTGGTTCTCAAACTGTGGTACATGTACCACTAGTGGTATGCGGGCTTCCTTCTAGTGGTACGTGGAGGAATTAAATATGTCATATATGTACATGCTACATATATTTAAAAATCTATCAAAAGTTATTTTATATATAAATATGATGACATATAGCCTATATGTATGAGGTCCAGGCAACATTTCCAGGTGTTGATATATGTAGGCTACATCAGGGGTCACCAACCCTGTTCCTGGAGAGCTACCTTCCTG